AAGCCCCTCTTCTCCCGTGCGCGGTTCTGGCTCCTGTGGAAGTCGCTCCATAAGGGGTGGGTTGGTTGGTTTTCCTCCTTAGATCCTGGTGTGGAAGGAGCTCGACTATGGCTCCAAGATGACAGAGGCGGAGAAACAAATGCTGGTTTCGGAGGTGAATTTGCTTCGTGAGCTAAGTCATCCGAATATCGTCCGGTATTACGATCGGATCATCGACAGAAGCAGCACCACGCTGTACATCGTGATGGAGTACTGTGATGGTGGCGACCTGGCCAGCTTGATTGCGAGGTGCACAAAAGAAAGGCACGTGAAATCTGGTTGTAGCAATTTTGGACTATCTAACATGAAGTATCTGGGGCAATCAAAAGAAAAGTGAAATGTGTCTCTTCTTAATAACTTGCAAAGAACTTAGGTTTAATGCTCTAAACCCAGCAACTCTGAAACGTGAAAGGCTTTATGTAATGTTACAACACCAGTGGGAATTGTAGTAATGAATGTGCTAACTGACGCCATGTTTATGTTGAAACAGTAAAAACGACTCCCTTATGGGGCAGGAGCTGTTGAAGGGTTTCTGGATGCAATGTTGTGCATGAGGCTGAAAACATAAACCAGCAAGTCACAGTCCTTGCAGACAGGTATCTTGACCTGTGGGTTCTTCTGGCTTGCCCATCAATAAAACTACTTATACTCCATTTTTTTGTTAGAACACCAAAATACATGAAAGGGAAAAGTGTAATTTTGAATATGCTGTTGAGAGCTACTTTGTGTGGCTGCATATAAAGCTTGTGGAGAGACCAAGTTGATGAGGCTTCGCCTTTGTCTAATCCTAGACTTACTAGCCTACTTAAGTATAATAACAGTTTTCACATTCTTGGGTTAAAGAAGGGTACGATGCCACACGTGTTACTTTGTGAGCAGTGTCTAAAATGGTATTGCAGCTGCTCCCAGACATCAGTGTTTTCATTTAAGGAAGATACATTGAAAATCAGTCCTGTCCTGGCTCTGTAGGTTGTTGCCTGTTACAGGTAGCTGACAACACTGTAAGTGATTAAAGGGACAGATCTCATCACAAAAGCATCCAACTGATATTTGTTCTGTAAGCAGTGGAAATGATGTGTATTTTTTAGACTCCTTAAGGGAGGGGGGAAGCATTACAGTGATTCTGCAGAAAGTCTAGATGTATTTTTAGTGTGTTTTTTTTTTTTTTCATTTCCATCTTTTAAGTAGCATATGTAGATGCCTGTTGCTTTTACCTTTCTATAAAGACACCAGGGTTGGATTCAGTGGTGTTTTGTAGTCGTAGTACTTCAGTTACTGTCAGTCCTAGTTCTAGAACTTTTTACTTAAAACAGTGTATGCTCAGAGAATACATTTGTCAAACAGTGTGTTCATCTTTCAGGCATTACTTGGAAGAAAGCTTTGTTCTCAGAGTATTGACTCAGTTGACATTGGCCTTGAAGGAATGTCACAGACGGAGTGATGGCGGAGTCACAGTGCATCGTGACCTAAAACCAGCAAATGTCTTTCTTGATGGCAAGCAGAATGTGAAACTTGGAGATTTTGGACTGGCTAGGATATTGCACCATGACACCAGCTTTGCCAGAACATTTGTTGGAACTCCATATTATATGTCTCCAGTAAGACCTTCCTTCTGTGCCTTATTTTTCCAGTTGTCCCTCCAAGATCTGTTTTCTGCAGTGTTGGTCTCAGAGTCTATGAATGTTTGGGAAGTTTTAATGAAGAGTTACTAGTCTTAAATGCAGGTGAACTTTTTTCTATAAAGTGTACATGTCCTGGAGACAAGGTTATTTTGCAGTTACTTTCATCACCTTCCTTCCCCATACCATCACTACTTTATAATTAAAGTTGCTCTTCACTCTAGTTTTGATGGGCTCTTGGAATATTAGAGAGATGTTGGAGTTTATTGTTCCAGAAAAGGAACAGGGAAGCTAGAGCACTTTTGTTTCACAGTGTTAAGGTAACAAACTCATTAAATTGTCACTTGATGGTAGAATTTTAATTTATAGTGGAAATGAGTAAGAATGTGTTATTTCCCTGATAGGGTGCATTTTGTGGACGAAAGATTAATTTTGACTGAAACATGGAATTGCACCAATCTTCAGTTGATACAACACTTCAGTCTTAGGCAGTGTAGTACTGCCATAACTTATTAACATCCTGCTAATAGGAGTAGCTGTGGAGTGTAAGGTGAAATCTTAAAAGTAACCCAAATAACTAATGGTTTAATTCATGTTTGGGCAGTAGCAGCAATAATAGAACACTGTCTTAGTTACTAAACCTAAAATTGTTCTCTTTCTTTAGGAACAAATGAACCACATGTCGTACAATGAAAAGTCTGACATCTGGTCTCTAGGATGTCTTCTGTATGAGTTGTGTGCTCTCTCGTAAGTAGAGGACTGTGGTAATGGATGTGGGGATGTAATTGTTGATGTACGTATGGTTAAATTTTGTGTAGGTGAAAGCTTACAGGTTTTGAAGAATAGAGCTATAGACTTTTATTTCTGGATTGATCTTGATATTAGGTAGTCAAATCTGACCACAGCTTTTTGTAGTCTGATAATCTTTAAAATGAAAATAAGTTCTGTAAAACTAGTGAAAGAATCAAATAAAAATGTTTGGTTTTTTTTTTCAGGCCTCCATTTAGAGCTTACAACCAAAAGGAGTTGGCAGAAAAGATAAGGGAAGGGAAGTTCAGACGAATACCATATCGTTACTCAGAGCAGCTGAATGAACTTCTCAAAGAGATGCTGAATGTAAAAGTAAGAATTCATTACTTATTTTTTCCACCTATAATTTGAACTACTACTGAAATACTAGTTTTTCCTTCTCAATTCTGAAACTGATATCAAGTAGGTGGTTACTATTGCCTTGGCACTGGCAGTATCTCTTGTAGAGGAAGGAGTGAGAAACTGTGCTCTGAGTCCATTAAATGAAGGTGGCAGCTCAAATGTTATGCCAGGTTTATTGGATGCAAAAAAGGCTGTCTCAGTATTGGCTTATACAATTTTTATTTTTTTTTCCTTAAGACCTTAACAAGGTTTTATAACTTCTTGGCTAAAATGGCTCCAGTGTGTTTGGTAGCTAGTGTTTTGTCTTCACACTAGCCATATAAAGCAAAATCTGAAATGTAGCTCACCCTCCCCATGGCTGGTATGGGGTGTTGAGAATACTGTGTGGGGCAACAAAGCTGTAACACAAACCCAAGTCTCCAAAAGGTATGAATCCTTTAGGAATCAAACAACAGGTGGAGATGCAGAGTATTAGCTCCAGAACCTACTGACAACTGCCTCTGTAGGCTCACCACCCCATTCTGGCTCTGAAAGGAGTGGGTGCCTGGGCTGGGAGTGTCAGATGTGCAGCTTCTGGAGCTGAAAGCTGTTAATGGCCTCCTTCCTTAGTTTTTGTCATATGGTTGTGCTATGCATTCCTAACTGCATTTTTCTCCAGCTTCCCCTTCACTGTATAGCACCTTAGCTGGTTTCCACGTGTGATAGGTCTTGCTTGGGAATTGCTGGCCTTAATGTTTCTTGAGATGATGGATCCTCTTCGTAATATATTTCCTTTAGGATTACTGCCGACCTTCTGTTGAAGATCTTCTGCAGCACCCCTTGATAGCAGACTTGGTGACAGAAGAACAAAGCCGAAATGATGACAGAAGAGGCTGGAGATCCCGGGAGTCAGAAAGGCTGCAGCACTCAGATCCTGCAGTGAATGAGTTGAAACGGAAGGAACAATTATTACAGGAGCGAGAACAAGCCATTAAAGAAAGAGAGCAACGTCTGGAACGTATGATATTCCCCTTTGGGAAGGGGGTGGCAATGGGATTCTAATTCAAAAGAATGAGCATAGTAAAGATAGCTTTCAAAACTCCTGATATCCATGCTAGGATATTGTACCACTGCATTCACTACTAGAATTCTGTCTAAAGACTAACAAGAATACTTGGTCTTACTCATCTGTACAAGTTCTGGTTGTAAGTTAAGATATAATTGGCAGTTTGGATACTGAAGTTTGGTTTGGAAAGATTATTAAACATGACTGATAATTAGGAAAGTATACAGAATGACAGGATCTGAATACATGGTTCTGTGTAGGGTAGGTTTCTTTTCACCTACTCTGTGTAAGTTAACATTGGCTATGCTATTGTGTAATCTAAGGTGAGCCTGATGTTGAAGCAAAATACACTCCAGTAAATCTTTAACTGCTTTTATAAAAGCTGTGTCCTACAGGTAGCGTACCTGTGAAACTACATAGATGTCTGGTCCTCAGTTGTTGATGTTTCCTGCTTGCATAGAATACCTCTTTGCATATGCAGTAGGCTCTGTAATACAGGTTTTAATGGTATATATTGTTTTCTGGCCCTGAATAACAGATGCTTCTGTAAATGGGGTGTTTAGTCATAGCTAAATTACAGTAACCGGCATCTAAATATTTAGATCTAGTGTAACGTGTGTCATGAGCTAATGTGCAGAATAGAAAGCTGCTATAGCTTCATTGTTGCAGACATGGCAGGGGAAGGGGGAGGGGACAGAAGCATGCCTGGTATTTCAGAGTATGTGTCCAGTGCTTAACCAGTGCCTTGATAAAGATGTATCTACACAGCAGGTAGCTTTTTCTTTAGAGCCATAGAAGCAGAAATGTGGGTGCATCTGAGGCTATGACTGCAATCTTTTTCTGCAAGAAAACCCGTCATGCACTCTAACATTTACATTTTAACACTCCATAGTATCATATTTCTACTTCCAGAGAGAGAACGGGAACTTTGTGTTCGAGAGAGACTGGCAGAGGAGAAACTTGCTAGGTATCTTACTAACCCTTCATTGCCTGTATGAAACTCTACAATCTTACAACAAAAAACTTAAACTTCTCTTCTTGAAACAGAGCCGAAAACCTGATGAAGAACTACAACCTCTACAAACAGCAGAAGACATTAGCTTGTGCAGATGGTCCAGGTATGAAAATAGGCAAGAAGCCACTTGCACTGATAAATGTAGGCTGGTATGACCAGAAGGCAGCCCCGGATGCTCAATATGCTGTACCTAGTCCCATTGTAGCAATATGCAGCCCAGGTATCTCTGGTTGGTTGGGAAGAGACTACTGATTTTTCTACTCTCAAAAAAGACTTAATGAATGATGCTCAGCCATGAGTAGGAGTTACAATGGTCAGCACTGCAGTCTTGTGCTGTTTTGAAAATTGGGTTCTTGTGGTAAGCTAATGGATGTGCCAACTTGTAACCCAAATGTTTCTCAAAGCTGCACTTATTTTACTTATGGATGTCTTTTTATAGACCTTTGATTTAGTTAATTGTAATAAAATTGCACGTATCTAATCACTTCAGCTTTAGTTTAACATTCAAAAACCTTTTAAGATGGGAAATATTTGTTGCGGATGACCCAGCTGTAAATGGTGCACTGAGTAAGCTCTGATGCATACAAGCTACTATTATCATACTCTAGTTTAACTTACTAGAAAAATAATAAACAAAACAAACATCCAGACAAAAACAACCCACACCAACCAACCAAAAAAAAACCCCAAACACAAACAGCTATAATGCTTCCTGACTACCTGGAAACCAATCTGTTTTACAGTAGTTGCTACCCCATCTGACACTTGTTTTGGTTCAGTACTCACTGTCATAAGAGATAGTATCATCTGTTCATTGCACCTGTCTTTTAATAGTAAAAATGATCCAAGTTCAAAATGCATTTAGATACTATTGGTAAAATATTAAATGGCTGGGTCCAAAGTAGTACTCCAGAACAAAGAAATGTGAACAACCTTTAACATGCAACAAGAATTCATTTAGTTTTGGTCAAATAAAACAAGCATATCACTGCCTTTAATGCAAATAAAACAAGTTACATTTTTCTCAAGAAATGCCTGTCACAGCAGGAAAGAACACAAGCAAAATGCTGCCAGAAGTTAGTGGTACTTGGCCTATTTTTAATGTCCTGTCAAGTTTGAGAATTCTGCCTGTCTCAACATATTGTGTGACTCTCCATTAAAGAACATAAAATTACGAGTAAACTTGCCTTGGACTTTGTGGTGTTGCCTCTAGTGCTGGATGGCTGAAGGTAAATGAGCTTCAGCATTTGCTTCTGTTCTCTTCTGCATATCCTGTCCTTTTACATGATCTTTTGACCTTAACCGGGTTATTAGTTTTTAAAGATGGGCAAAATCACTTTTGAGTAGTTAATACCTCAAGACAGGCAATGCTGAAAAGTGAACATAGTTATTCCAAGACTGACCAAAGCTTGTGGTGGCTGTAGTTTGCTTGATTAAACGTTTGTTGCCATGTTTGCAACACTTCCAATTCATTTCATGGTACTCTTGTAATAGTCCACTCCTGTCACAACAGTGAGTAAGAATTTCTCCAGTATGTTACCAGGATCACTTGCTTCTTCAGTTATTTTCAGTTGCTCAAATATTACTGTATTCTTTCACAACTGCATTGCATCTCACCTATTTCTTGGAGCCCTAATTGCTCCTCAAAGTCAATTGTGTTGTTCACGGTAAAATGCAATACCAAAACTCCTGGTTTGTAAGATAGTGTCCTTAGACACTACCCTATTTCTGCAGGGATTTTCTGATTCCTGGGGAAGGATTTAATGTTAACAGATACACCTCACTGATGCAAAACTACAAAATACTGAAACATTCACTAGCCTGTTCAGTTTGGTCCTCACTCTTTTGTGCCTATTGCATCCTTGCTGTAGCCTAATAAATTGAGAAAAAAAAAAAAAAAGGCTTCGGCACCATTAAGATTAGGATAGTTAGACCTTTGAATAAAAATAAAGTCACACTTCAAGTTGAGCGTTGTGAAGTTGGCTTTTATGAGAGGCAACTCAGGTGTTTATTTTAATAGAGTTTAATTGTGGGTTTTGTACTTTGAGTCGTTTAAAACAAAACACGCTAACTGCCTTTGGAGTGCAGCAGTTCTATACAGCTAAAGCATAGCTATACTATGAAAATTCCTGTTCTGGAGCATGCAGTGACAGTGCCTTGTTAGTTTTTAATGCCCCTGAGCTCATTATTCATCAAGACAGAGCCTAGTTTGTACCCCTTTCAGTTAATACAAGGATTGAGGTGGAACAATGCGAGTAATGTAGAACGACCACTGGGCAGGTTGGGTCTGCCCTTGCCACGAAGGAAAGACAAGGCTTTTCAGTAGCTGAGAGCCTAATTCTCCATTTCCCTTTGGAAATGGGTTGTGTTACTGTTTAATTTCTGTCCTTCAGAAGAAACTCGATGTTTTTTCTCCTTAACTCATATTTCCATAGGGGTTGGGAGGTGCACCCTAGAAACTACAATGTCATTTTACAATAGTGATTTAAAAGCCTTGTTTTCTTTTTTTTCCTTGTTGCTATGAATTTCCTTGTTGCTAGGAATTGTTGCTATGAACTGAAATGCATTTAATTAGATATTTAAAGCCAGAGGTAGCTAGCAAAATGGGTAAAAAAAAATCTTAAAAGACCTAAGCTAAGCAATAACTACTACTGAAAGATGCACTAATTCAATACCATCTTATTTCCTAAGGCAACGCTGTCCTGCTCCCCTTTCCTACAACCAGGAAGAAAGTACACTTTGATGGAAGTGAAGAGAATGCTGTGCCTCCTGTTAATTTGGAAAACTGTCCCATTTCTAAAGGGAAATGCTCTGATCTAAAAAAACGCTTATACGCTGCAAATCTACGGGCTAAAGCACTGTCTGAACTGGAAAAAAACTATCAACTAAAGAGCAAACAAATACTGGGCATGCGCTGAAACTGTGAGATAGAAAGTATTTAACTTTTTAAAGTTGATTAAATGAGTAGGAAGATACTTGTGCCTCTCTTTTAAGTTGGAACCTACTGAAAATCTGACAGTTGTTGTGCAGACTATAATGTATAGTTTATATAAAGATATAAGAGATTACATTATGAAAATGGGTAGTTTTGATGCCAAATCAAACTGAATTATTTGTATTATTAAAAAAGAAGAAATTTTGATCATCCTGTTTACCATACGTTATTACTCTTCTGAAAATATGAAGAATAAATATTGTAAAGCATTTTTTTAAAAGTCTATTGGGAAAAACCATTCAGATTAAAAATGTACAGCGATTCACAAGCTGTGCATTAAACTGATGCTGTATGTAATGTACAGTAATTGATAAAAAGTATTTTGTATATAAAGAAAAACGGTGGCTTTTTGTCTGCACTTGTAAATATTTTTTAACTATCAAAAGAGGAAGATGATTTTATACTGTCCCTTCATACTAAGTATGTCACCTATCAAAACAGGCTACTTTTAGTTTAAGGTCTGTGACTCATGAGCATACTCCTGACCCATCCCTCTCCTTTCTGCCTGGGCGACTGAATGGCTTGTCCATTAGCTCCTGCAAGGCCCATTTCAGGACCTAGCATTTGAAATAACACCTTCTTTGGTGTTAAAAACTGATCTCCTGAGACTGCTGGCCTGAAGGGGACACCATTCATGGTATTAGCAACTGTGTTTTGTGGAGAGGCATCCTTGAATAGAAAATCCTTATTTTCTTGAAGTTTATAAAGTATCTCTAACTTTCTCTTCACAATTCTTTGCCAGAGTCGGAGCTGCTCACTTAAGGTAAGGTGGTTTAAGTTCATGACCTAACTTGGTCTTGTGAATTTAAAAAAGTCCTTTGGAGCTGTAATGTCTGGCATATATTTTATATAAGGGGTTTTTTTTAATCTCTCTGTTGAAATGCCATAAAATGTACATTATTAAAAAAACAGATAATTTTAAAAACATTTGTTCCCTTGCTGGGCTGTGACTTATCTAAGGAGGAGTTCTAGATAGTGTTTACTTTAAAAAAGAGAATGTTACTTGAACACCATCAGTTTGATTTGATGTAATTGTTGGGAGGCAATATTTTTGTCACGGAACAATAGTTCTGCTCTAGTAGATTCTTAATCCTCCAGCAAGGTCTATGATATTTGCTTGCATAGTGGTTACTGTTTCCACCACAACTTTTGCTTAAAATTAGATTACGACCATTTTATTTGCTAGTGTAAAACTACCACCATTCTGATGGTCATTACCCAGTGCTAGGTGTGGTCAAAATATCTGACAGGTATGCACAGCCAAAGTAGCTGTGCCTTGTGGATCAGTGCAGCTTTCCTTCTGCAGCTTTTCGTGTCGTTGAGGATTCTCACGTATTTGGAGGGTGGACCCCTGCTTTCTCACCAGCTTTGTAATCTGAAATAATATATAGGATGTCATATACTTTGTCATCTGCAAAATGCAGGTACTGATTAGTGAAAGGAAGAAACCAAGCAACCAAGAAAATAAATTAGTAATTAATGATTCAGGAAAGACTCTGAAATGGCTGGTGTTTGCAAATGCTTTGCTTTTAACAACACCAAAACAAGAAAATAGCTTGAGAGCATTTTTTTGCTTTTCCTTTTTTTTTTTTTTTTTTTTCCCCTTGGAACATAGAACTTGGACAATTTAATTTATGCATTTAAAAGTAAAATACTTTCAGAGAGATACCTGCAGCTTTCCTCTCTTTCAATTCTCCAGCGACCTCAGGATGGCACTGTTGCACTGTTACGTAGTGGGAATTTCCTTTAGTCTGCGAATACATTCATACAAAATTCAAGATCTGATTTAAACATATTTTTACCTGCTTTGTTTCAGAATAGTGTGTTGCTGCAAGATGATGATTTTCTTAGGCTACAGATGCTTTAGTAATTCCTGGTGTAATAATGATAGTAATTTTCTCTGATTTGCCATTTTGCATCTTTTATGCAAGTTTTAGAAAAACAGCTGAATCAAAGACCTAGTTAACTACTTTTATAAATAAGAAATGCTATGGAAAGTGCAAAATGTATCAATCACATTGGCAATAATAAATAAGACCAGCTGAAGTTAACAGCTGTAGCACTGAGCTATTTAAGCTGTGTTACTCAGAATGTCTTCTTGAAGTATTATCACTCTAAGTGAAGGTAAATTTGTGTATACATATGTGGTAGAGCTTAAGCCTTACAGGATGGTGATAATGCCATATACTAATGAATGTTGTGAGATAAATTCATGTGTAATATATCAGGAAATTTAATAATGTATATATAGTCATGGGCACATAAATTATATGATATATAGAAGTCACTTCGAAAGTCACAGAAGTTTTATATGCATAGAATCCAATTTAGCTGAAGGCTAGACTGAAGAAGTATCATCATTGAAAAATGCAGACCACATCCAGATTTTCATACTTCATGTGTGACTGTGATCAAGACCCTGTCCTGGGCCTTAGGATCCCATCTGTAACAGGCTCATCACAGGGGGGTTGCTCAGAGATGGCACATAGGAGACTGTACAGGCCTGCACTTTGGGCAGATTTTGGGTGGCACTGGTGCAGCTACTTTGGTCTCCTTTGGGCAGCTATGCATATACTAGGGAATGGAATTTATTGGGAAATTAGCAGTAAGTTACCGAAGTAATTTATTTCATAATTAGCCTGATCAACTGTCCCCTCTGTAGCCAGGTGACCAGGCCATTTTGTGTGTGGCTACAGCACTTACATGGCATGAAAGGACTGGCTAGCTAGCTGGGCAGATAAAATGCTTAAAGGAAATCAGTCTTAAATATAGAGGACCATCAAACTTCTTCCTAAACATAAATATCAATAGGTCATTGAATCTGTACTATACCACTGAACAGGTGGAGAGCTACATCCCTCTGGAACAATTATAAATTACTTTATCAGAGGGAATTTAGTATTTTTGCCATAACTGTCACTGAGTAACCCAGGAGGAAGTGATCTGGTCCTAATAATGGCACAAACTGGTTCACAGGTGCTTGCTGTGAGACTCAATCTCCTGCAGGTACAAGAGACAATGCAGAGCAGAAGCTCCCTGCTGTTGCTCTTGTCTTAATCCAAAAAAGAGATATTGCTCCTCATGCTGCTCATCATCCTAACACCTGCCTGTACCTCTTGCTGTGCTGGTGGAGATGAAGTCCATTTCCTGCCAAGCAATGCTGCTAGCAGTTCTGGGCCAAAATACAGTCAGACCTAGTACGGTACAGTGACAGCCTTTGGGCTGTGTCTTTGTCTTGTTCTTCCCTTGTGTATTTTGTGTGAAGCTGCAGGAATCCTAGTAGCTGTTAAGCATGCGTATTGGGCATAGAAGTCAAAGCCTGCCCTGGGAGCCTGTTTAATAGGCAGCACAGTGGAAGACTTTGGCCTAATTAAGGCTACTACATACAGTATAGTCCACATTGGGTATTAGAATTAAGTTTTATTTATATATTTACCTTAAAAGTTAGCTGAAAGTTAAATATTAATCTTTACAACTTTCAGAACGCTGCCCAGGCTGATGGCGTAACACCAGGTACTGTTATACTGCTTTTCCATTTCATCTTGCTTTCAGCCAGATCAGCAATGCTGAGGAGTTACAGTACTAGAGGCAACAGCACCTTTATCTGACATTGTTTGGAAGGCAAAGTGCACTTCTGAGGCTCAGCTGCCATGAAAAGATGAACATTTTTGTTGGAAAAAAAATCCTTTGTAGTCTGCAAAATGGACTCATTCCAGAGATTTATTATATAAAGGGAAAAGAAAGACTGCAGAGACACCTAGAATTAGCTAGCTCCAGATTGAAAAATAATTCTATCTACACTGTTTTGAGGCAAGAAGACGTAACATTAAAACTTTTGGCTAATTCAATTTTTGACACATTTAGTTTTTGACTGATGGATGATGCTTGTTGCTGGACTACCTGGCTTGAGAAGTAGTAATTTATGGGCCAATGATTACCGTGTTGTTCTCTGCTGTGAATACATTGCTGGTCTCAATGTATTATGTCTACTTCCTTGACAGCTGAAACTCTGACTTGGATATGAGACACAGTGAGTAATAACCAAAAACACAGCTTCCACTATCAACTTTCATATGTATTTTTTTTGTGGTAAAATTAATGCAACATGTAGATTTATGAGGAATATGCAGGTTCTTAGCAGGTGTTTGAATAACTGGCTAGAAATAGTATTTTTTTTCCATTACTCATACTAATCTGGAAAACATTTTTAGTTTTAAAGATAGCTGCTATACTTTCCTACTGTTTAATCAGGTCTTTTAGCAGGTTCTGCTCTCGCAAGATCAGCAGAAGCAAATGTATACATAATATAAATTTTTGCATGTTTGTGTCAGTTGAAGTCCCAAGGATGGAACAGAAGCACAGTAAAGCAAATAACAAGCTTTCATTCAAATCCAGGGAACCCTTGGCTGGACTTCAGTAGCATTAGACATACTAAACATTTGTAAATACTTACACTTGTTTACTACTTAGGCAGGAAGATCATTGCCACGCAGCAGGAAAAAACTGCATCTTCCTCAACAGAAGTGAAGATGAGCCACTTTAGGTAGAGCTCTTGATCTTGGCATCTGTCAAATTGGACAAAAAATGCATCAATAGCCCTGTGGCAAGCTTGGGCACCACACAGACCTCTCCAGAGTCCTATATTAGGAAACAGGGAATGCATTTTTTTTCTGCTCGTCATGTGTTTTATCATCCAGTTGTAAATGGAAGCAATATTACCTACCTGGCTTCTCAGTTCTTCCTAGACCATCAGGGAGCACTCCAGTGACCCCAGAGCTAGATGGTTATTTAGGTCATCCAGGAAGTTTAGAAAATCCTTCCTGACAAATCCAAGTGTTAAAGTTACTGATCGACTTGAGTGCTAATTGGCATGTAAAGTCTTTTCTGACTACTACTAATCAATCTTTAGATGCCACTAGGGAA